TAATAATAACAATTTTTGAGAAGAAGCAATTGAGGTTTATAAAGGTTAAGCTGAAGGGAAAGGATTCGTAAATGACAGAGCAGACAGAGATTACAGAGTAAGAGAAAAGAAGAATGAAGATTAAAACCTAACAAATGTTTTGAAACATTGCATCCTGGAGTTGGACTTTTGGGGATTATTTCCTGGCTCTACAATTTACTCCTGTGTGTTACTTCAATTTACAAAGGGTTGAACAATAGGGTTAACAAAGGGTATAACAATAGTACCACTTTATAGGGTTGTGGAAAGGATTAAAGGGATAATATATTTAAAACATTTAATGCATGGCCCATAAGGGCTCAACATAAGTCAATTATATACCCCGAGGCCTGAAATAACAAAAGCAATAACAACTTTGGACTCAGACAATAGAGATTAATTAGAATTATTTGGGGGAGGACGACACCAACAAATGATTTTTTCCATGTATACTATGAAAATACAGCTATACTTATTTCACTTATAACTATGGAGAAAGACACTGATTTTATTTTCAACAAAATTATGAGCAGTCAAGCACAGGGGAGAGGAAAAGAATACACACACACACACACACACACATACACATACACACACTCTCACACACACATTTAGGCTCAATGGCCCAAATCCAAAGTGCCTAAACATTCTGTAATGATACTAAGTAGTCCAGTTACTGCTCTCTGTGCTTCTATAGTAGTCAGTCCTTCCCCAAATGCAGAACCTTGGTTTACGTACAGGAAACTGGTGTCTGGAAGAGTTGAAACAGGAGAAAAATGAACGGCCTTGAAGGAAGTTAGTTTTACATTCAACTGCTTTGCGTTGGCAACGGCTTTGGAGACATCATATAACTCACTCTGCAGCCCTGTATATAGAAAAACATAATTTAAAATGTGGCATTTTATTTGAAAAAGCAAAAAGGAAAATTTTGGCAGTATTTTTATGCTGAGTATCGTCAACATCACCAGTTTGCCACCTTGTATTACCCTAAGCACTATATATATTTACATAGGAATTATTACAAGCTAATTGGTGTCTGATTTTCAAATTTGGGGGGAATTTTCAAATTCTCATCATGTTGGCCACTGTGACTACCCCTCATGATCTTTCATGGAAATTTCTGATGAGAATATCGCATGGAAATTTGGAATATTTTGGGGGAGTTTTGATTTTTTTGACTCCTTAGACTAATATTAAGCTCCTCGAAGTTAGTGGCAATGTTTTATAGCTCTAAAAGTCTATGATCCACCATATAGCTAGAACCATAAAAGAGCTTAGACTTGTATGGTGTGGCAAATCCACCAAAGACTCTCTTCCAGGCTGTTGCCAGAATGGGCATTAGAGAATGTAAGGTGTAAACTCAGTGTTGGTGGGATTTATCTTGAATTTAACTCATCCAGATCCCACTAACTTGTCATAGCTATACTATTTTACCTATAAATCTTTTTTTTGAGACAGAGTCTCACTCTGTTGCCCAGGCTAGCATGCAGTGGTGTCAGCCTAGCTCACAGCAACCTCAAACTCCTGGGCTCAAGCGATCCTCTTGCCTCAGCCTCCCGAATAGCTGGGACTACAGGTGTGCACCATCACGCCTGGCTAATTTTTTTCTATTTTTAGTAGAGATGGGGTTTTGCTCTTGCTTAGGCTGGTCTCGAACTCCTGAGCTCGAGCAATCCTCCCACCTCAGCCTCCCAGAGTGCTAGGATTATAGGCATGAGCCAACATGCCCGGCTTACCTATAAATTTTTATTCAATACTTGTTACATATAAAGCACTGTGCTGGGCAATGCTTCACAGTCATACACAAAAATGGTACAGTCTCCATTCTAACTGTGGTTATATTAATAGTATAACTCCTTTCTCCACCCTTCCAAATCCCCATCTATTCTGTCCTTTCTAGTCTGTGCCTTGATTAATTGAACTCTCTAGAAACTGACTTTCCCTTTTCCTTCCATATCTAATGGCTTGTGTCCTCCCCTCTGGTGAGGCACTTCTCAGAGTGGCCCTGAGACTTGAAGGATACATGAGTGGGAAGGTACATTGAACACAGTGTGATATCTGAGCCTTGGCTCCTCCCTCAGGGAGTTAAGCCTCAGAAAAGATAAGCAAGTCTTCAAGTTAAAGCTATTAAAATTATGGATGCTCTGGCTGGCGTACTATATCATAACACTGAATTATATCTAAGGAATTCAAAAGACTGTGAGAAAGAACTAGGCAGTGCCAACCAAAGGTGTGGATGGTAGCTGAAGCAGAATTCCTTTCTCCCGAGTTAAATAGAACCAATTAATTTTTAAAACTTATTTAAATTGAAATATAAGAATATTTTTAACTTTTTTCTTCTTAATTGTTATGGGTACATAATAATTGTATATCTTTATAGGGTACATATGATGTTTTGATACAGGTATACAATGTTCCTAATACAAAGAAATGAACTAATTATTTTTAAAAGTCAGCTTAACACTTATTTTAAAAAACTTTTAAAATTATAAAATGTTTCATAGAAAACTGCATAAGACAAATGCATAACCTAATTTTCATATATTTTAACTACTACTAAAGCCACGAAATAGAAATTTAATAGCCACTTCTATTACCTCTCTCTCAATCACCATTTACTCTCCTCCACTAAAAATAACCAGTATCATAATTTTTATGGCAATCATTTCCTCATTTTCTTTATGGTTTCATTATCCAAGCATGTGTCCTTTATTTTGGCCTTTTTGTCTTGTAAATCTTTTAATCTTCATATTTTCCTTTAATTCCCATCTTTCTTGTTTTAATTCTTTCATTTTATTTGTTAAAAAATCCAGTGGTTTGCTGTGTAGTTTTCATAGTCTTGGATTTTGCTGATTACCTCTTCATGGTGTTGTTGACCACGTCCTTCTATCCTCTGAATAAGTTACCACTTTTAGTGAATGATTTTCTCCTTCCCCACAAGACAAAAGAACTTCCACATACTGCTCGGTCCCTGTCCACCTACCTCCTTAGAAGGGGAGGAGTCGCTAATTGGATAAGCTGGAACTCAGGACATTTATTAGACAAGTCACCAGTGGGCAGGCTTCTGAAACTTTCAGGTGAATACACATTCCTTCTCTTATCCACACAATCAGTAGGAAGCAGAAGAGCCTGGCCTGTCTGTGTAGCTATCCACTTTTTCACTTCCTGTCCTCACATGGCAAACACAAGACGTTTGGCTCCTCTGGGTATGTTAATGGGCTAAGCCTGATAACATATGGTTTATGAATGGCTTTTAGATGAAAAACAACAAAGGCATTCTTGTGCAGGGTGTGCCCTTCCTCTGGACACCCAGTGCTGAAGCAGCTCCACTGTCGAATGCTTGCTCTACAGTAGCCCAACTAGAATCTGTGACTGGAGTCTGCACTGTGGCAAAGGATAAAAGACTGCCCAGTCGTATGGGCAGTAGACAGGGTCTGAAGTTGCTCATGATTTGGGACGGTTATGGAAACAGAGGATTGATGATCTTTTTAGATGCTCTAATCAAGAATAGTAAAGATACTGATGACTTAGAAGATATATAATATTCCAAGGAGATTACAGTAATCAGCACAGAAGTCTATAGTCATGCAATTACATCAGAAGCCATAGGTAATGCCCAGGCTGACTTTCTTACTAAATGAGTGGCCTTCACCACTCCAGCTATATTACGTTCTACTAGTTCACATCTGTCCCCACCAAAGCTTCAGGAAGAATGATTGGGTCAATTTGGATAACGATGACTGATTCATGACTATCAGCTCAGCCTTCTGAAAAAAAAATGGCAATAGGAGGCATGTTTTCTCTATAATGACGGATTGAAGTGATTTAAGAATAGTAGGCCATCCACCCGAAGAATGGACATATTTGAAACTCGGACTTGGGGGTGAGGAGCAAGGGCAACATATGTAACCTAAACATCTGTACCCCCATAATATGCTGAAATAAAAAAAAAATAGTAGGTCAGAAGCGCCAAGATCTATTGAATTACTGCCATGATTTTTCACAGCAAGGAAGAGATTTCTTCATTTCCACATTAAAGTAATACTGGTGAGAATCATTTTTTCTAAATTGGCTAAGGGAGTGGTAGAACCATGTCTTACTTCTAATGAGCATAACTGGGATAGATCTATAAAGGTGAGAGTTCAGTGCTTCCTCCATAAGATCTTTTCAAGCATTTACAAATGCATTTTATACAACGGCCTAAGTCTTTAGGTTATGCATATGTGTTAGTCATTATTTGTAAATTTTCTGAGTGGATAGAAGCTTTTTCTTGTTAGAGGACTTCAGCTATATATGGTTGAAAAAACTTGCTGGACTTTATATTTCCAACACGGGGATCCGTACCTTCCTGTCAAATGATCAAGGAACTCATTTCACTGGAACAGTCATAAACAGCAACTTCATTGCCTATATCAATCCCAATCATTATGAAAAATGGGAAGAGTAAGTGGTACACTCAAGCACTGTATATACATCTCATATATATTAAGTACCTATCTATATCTATCTGATGTACACAATAAGAAGAAAAAAAGACTGCATAATGTATGTCTTGCACTTGACCTCACCTTGTATTTGAAAAACTTGGTCCCAGTTAATAACATCATGCTCTTCCAATAGCTGTCGGTAAGCCCTGACATCCTTGTAGAACACAGCATAGGCATTAGAATAATGGTCAAGGTTATCTGTCTCAGCCTAGGACAGAATACATAACCATAAAAACACAAACAATGTCTCAGGATAATCCAAATCTTAGATAAATTAGGTACCATTAGCTGGGCATACCTAGCTAATTTTCTGTTAACAAATTTAGCCACCTATAAAACAATGGCTAAGTGGAAATAAGGCTAATATGCCATAGTGAGGGAAAGAAGAGAACTTTTATGACTTTTACTTGATTTCTTTCCTCTGAGATTAGGAAAAGTTTTAAGACATCTATTTCACATTTTTCTAGGATTTATTTATTTATAAAAATAGAAAGTTTATAACTCAATGGATTCACCTCCAAGAATCAAAACTCTCAGAATCTTTCTAATGTGGTCAGGGCAGCACTTCTTTGACCACTTGAGCTCTGGCTTTTTCTCAGAGGCAGAACAGGGTGGACACTGTCTTCTTCAATCTTGTTCCATATTTACCCACATGACCAAAGCCGTCATAAGGAATCACCCACCCAGTGGAAAGATAGTATTTACAAATCAGCCGCGTGTGCTTCATGCTTCTAGATATTACAAAACGCTAAGGAAACACTTTATTGAACACGTCGGGACTGGAAGTTTTCCATGTTCTTGATACTCTGAAGCCAGTCAAATTCGAAACTAATTTGGAATATGGAATATTAGAAGCTAATTTGGAATACTAATTGGAATATGTACCATGGTAAGCTAATGTATATGGTTACTATGGTTATACTATCTCTGTTATCTAATCTTTCTTTCCAATCCTTTCTTTTTCCCTTTAAAACTGTACCTCTCTCTGTCGCCGGGTGATGACAGCTTTGAAGTCTGGCCATGAATCCAATACCACTTCCTTTTGGAAGGGATTCCCACGATTTATGTTCATCACTGCTCCATAAACCTGAACCAGAAAACCCAGAGGGACAAGCCAATCACACTATTAGCTGTTTCGGTTGCATATTACTCTCTTCACTTCTTGTTCTACTGTGCAATCCCGGTCATGAGAGGGGACATTATATATACACACATGCACAATATACACACATATAAACTTTTCTACTGTTATTTCATCAGTACACATGAAAACTGGTAAAAGTGTGAAATCCTATGAAAACCCTCTCCAAACCTACTTTTTGTTCACAGTACAATAGCGAGAAGTATTGGACTGATACAGGCTTACTAGAGTAGTGCTTGGCACATACGTCAGAAATAAATACTTGCTGAATGAATCAGAATATGATGTGCGGATTTAGGGCTTATACATATTTAAAAAGTTCCACAGAGAATCTTGATGCTCAGCTGCTTTTCAAGTTCATTTTATTATTTGAAAATAACCTGTGAAATGTAACTACTCCTTCAACTCTAAAATAAAATTAAATATCATTTGAGTTTGATACAGACCCAAATTAAAAAAAAACAAACAAAACTCTGCATCTCAGATTTTACAGAGCAAGGGTCTATAGCATTCCCTGAGGGTCGTAACTATGTTTCATTCATTATATCCAAGGAGCCTGACATAGCTGACTAAATGCTTGGTGACTGAACAACACTGGAGTAATGCTAGAATTCTCTTATGTGGCCTTTCACATTTTTTTCTCTATGAAGAAAGATGTCTATTCTACAAAACAATTTTTATATGTCTTGTGTGCTTACAGAGGTTGGAGAAAATTATAGGGATAATGAGGACTGCTAAGCTACAGGCCGATGTTCATAGCATTTTCATAATTAAAACAAACTGGAAACAACCTAGATGCCCAACAGTGGAATGAATAAATTGTGGCATAGTCACACTGTGGATTACAAAACAGCAGTGAAAACGAATAGATTGCTGCTACATGAAATCACTACAAATCTCACAAACATAATGTTGAGCAAAAGAAGCTAGATACAGAAAAGATACTATGATGTGATCCATTTACATTATATTCAAAACCAGGCAAAACTCAATTACAGCTTTGGAAGTAGGATAGTGGTCACTTTTGGGGAGTAGGAAGAGGCAATGGTTGGAAAGGAGCATTGCGGGTAGGAAGGAGCGGCTTGTGAAGTAGTGATTTTCCTGACTGAAGTGGATGCTACACAGGTATTTGCTTTGTGAAAATTCACTGAGCTACACAATTATATCGTGTGTACTTTCTAGTATCTGTTAGACTTCAATGAAATAATTTTTTTTTTAAATTATAAGGGCCCTGGAACCTACCTACATTTTATCTGCTTTATACATTGTCTTAATCCAAATCACTCACCTTTCATCAATGCCTAGAACATCATGCAACTTTCTTCTTTCTCACACAATCTGGGACTTCATTCAAATATCCTCATAGACTAGGTCTTTCCAAATTGAGTACAGCTTACATGAATGTGTAACGTGCATCACCCTAAGTGAAAATCCAAGAACTAAAGTATCCTTGAAGGGTCTTGCTTGTTCCTTTACTCTTTAAAGTCTGTGGCTGCTCATCTTACACACATAGAATGATGTTTGTTAAAACGGTTTCACGTGAGGAAACTGCACATACTTATTCCAGAATGTAGCCTAAATATGACTGGAATGTTCAGAAGGTTAAAAGGGAAAACCCCTTTCTATATTCACATTCTGAGAGGAAAAAAAACCGTAACTTGTTTGTATATGATTTAGAACCAACTGAAAGATCTGACATTGGTTAAAAACAAACAAACAAACAACAAATTCTTCCAATAGCTATTTATTCAAAGGGCAAGTGTTGAGTGGAGAGGAGGTGTGGCTAGAAGGAAGTAAAAATACTAGGCGAATGAGCAGACAGAGCTTGTGAAGGAGCTTTGGAAGGATATTTAATCACTTAAACACTACGCTGAGGTTACAAAATACAAAGCCACAAACTCCAAAGAATGGAGGAAGGGTAAATAAACAAAACTATATTTTCTTTAATTTCTTTTTATTCTCTAACATCTTTTATGATCCTAGAAAGGTCACTGAAACCTTTTTAGTTATCTCTGGCAAAAGAGTTAGCCAGACATGTTATTAAAGCAAAGTAGCTTTCCATCTTATTCCAGTAATTCACTTCAGGGTCAACATTCGACAGGGGAAAATGTGGGTTAGATTGTCCATCTGATACTTTTTTTAGCCAGATGATCCCAAATTATTACTCAGATTTTCCCTACCATGTACAGTTTAAACACAATCCATAGAGCAAGATGAACCAGATTCAATCAACATAGTATAGTGCATTAGAGGACTCTTTTGTTTGAATTTTCATATACATAGGGATTATCCAGGGTGTCTGTTAAAAATGAAGAACCCTGTTCTCTATTTTCAAAAATTCTGATTTGTTATGTCTCTCCTGGGTGATTTGCATGGCATTCGCATTTGAAAACCACTTTGTAGGGCAGTCTCACTGCTCAAGAAACTCAGCCTTCAAAGGCAATTTCATTGCATTTTGCACTTTCCTGCCAAGTACTAATTGTAACAGTTCTAATCTTACATTTATTGCAATCTTTGATTATTGACATCTTCCACAGTAGCACTGAGTTATCAGCAGGTCCTCCTGGATTTTAAAAGAGATAGGGACTTGATGACCAACAGAGCCACTGAGAAAACTTCAAAAATAAAGATCTTGAAAGAAACAAAAAATTTTATAACAATCCCTAAACTTCAGTTTACCTAGGTTGTATCCTCAACTGCAATGCTGCCAATTCATATTCTTCTGCCATTTAAAAAATTTTAGGACTCAAATTTACTTTAGAAATAATCTAGCCCAGCATTACCTAAATTTCCCTGAGTCATCAAGAATGACTATCAAAAGTAAAATTCCCCGGGCCTTCTCCATAATCTTTTCAATCGGTTTCTAGCACAAGGGGGCTGGGAAGCTGTAAGTTTAACAAATGCTCCTAGAGTCTTTTCAGAAAAAATGGGAAACAGCTGCAAATTTGACATTATTTTACAGATTAATGCCGTAAAGCAATAAAATAAAATTCTTAACTTTATAGTACCTTGAGTGATTCAGGAAAGCAACTCTTCAACATTTTCTCCAGCAGCATTAATTTGGTAGAACAGTTTAGCACCAACATCTTCTCTACGGCTCTTGCAATTCCACACCTAACTGGAAACTTGAAGGTAGGCATTTAATTTTTGCTTGTTAACATTTGAATCTATTTAGGAATATCCTTGCAGTCCTGTTTTCATTGAGTACAACTCTGACTGCCATTGATCCCTTAGGAGAGGCGAAAATGAAGATGGGGAGGCACTGGGATGGGTAAACCAGACTAACCCAGTGAACACGTGGAAATGGAGTGGTAAAGACCTAATCCTGGATAGATGTGAGTATCGATACTGGATTAAGTCTTTCTGTTAGACACATTTATTGCACTCTATACTCTTCCTTCGGGGCACTAATAACAGTTGTAATTTTACATTTATTTGTGTTTTCTTTAAGTCTGTCTGAAGGAGCCTATGAGCTGCATGAAGGTAGGGCCCACGTCTGCTCTGTGCTCCCCTGTATCCACAGCACCTGCCACAGGGCCTGGCACATAGGAGGGACATTCTAAATAGTTTGTGAATGGGTAACATGAAACTCAGGGTAAGAATCTTGAGTGAAGTAGGAAAACTCCTTTTTTACAATGTGGGACAAAGACTAGAGAAAGACTTGAGTAGGTCAGGTGGTTATGAGGAACAACTTGGAGAGAAACAACTAGATTGATGAATCAGATGTGGGCAAAGGCTGAGCCTTATTTTAGCCAGACATCATTAGGGAAAGAAGAAGGGCCTAAATATTATATAATGTATGCAAACTCATTCATTCCCATGCACTTAACATTTTTTAGATTTTGATGCTTCAACTCCCCTGCTTTGCTCCCAAGAAAACTTTTCTCCCCAATATTCCAATCAGGGCTTGACTGAATTAAAGAAAAAAAAAATTCCTACAGTCAATGTAGTGAAGTTTGTCTACTTACACTTAGCAGTCGGGCACCAGGAAGGCAAAGATAGCTCAGCTAGACACGAGAACCTGGTGCTTTTGGGGTTATGGTGGAGAGCTGGGATCACTCCTTTACAACACATTTTACAAGTAGAGAACACTACTTGATTTCCCTGTGTGGCATGCCCATGTGACTACATGATACCCTGAATGTTCAATTGTGATCTACCCCAAATCTACTATAAACCTCTATCATGTACTTTATGTGAGTCTGAACTTCTAGAAGCATATTATCAAGCCTATGGGTTCTGGTTCACTGAGTGGAACACTTGAGGTATTTGTGTTCTCTATAAGCAATATTAAGGGTCAGCATAGCCCCAGAAAGTCAGGAGGCTTTTGGACTTTCATACTAACAGTCTGGACCAATATTAGAAAGTTTGAAAAGATTGAGTTTCCATATTTTAGGACGGTGAAGAAAGAAGTGTAGCCATCATCTTTTCACTCTTGTATCTGCTTGACTTTTCACTCATTTGTGTCACTTCTAAATTTTAAATTTTAGTAGATACTTATTTTAAACATATTTATTCTAATTAAATATCTCTTGATAGAAAATGAGGGGCAGTAGGTTATGAATCTCTGAATTAGGTTTGATATCTAGAGATCTTTTTATGCCCTAATATTTAGCAAAGTAGCTAATGCAAAGAGTAGGAATTATAAGTATTTGTTGATGATTTGCTTATTTATTACCTGTTTTTTTCCCTGAAGGATCTAAAACTATTTATGAAAATAGGTAAAATATAAGAAAAATTAAATGTATATTAAAATTCAGGCAAGAGGAAAAATAGAGGGACAAAGAAATATGGAGTCAAGAATAAGGTTAGTATGCAGAACATGGAATATAATCCTGTGTTTACAGTTGATCCTTTTTATTGATGGATTCATTCCATATTTGCAAACTCACCTGCTCACTAAAGTTTATTTGTAACCCCCAAATGAATACTTGCAGCACTTATGCAGTCACTTACAGACATGCACAGAGCAGCAACAAAATTGAATCTCCTAACACACGTTTCCAGCTAAGGCTGAACAGGGCACATTCTGCCTTCTTGCTTCAGTTTTCGTACTGTAAGCAAGAGTCCTGTTCTTCGTCTATTTAGTGCCATGTTTTTCAAATGTTTGTGCTTTTTGTTGGTGATTTTGCTGTTTAAAATAGTGCATAGTGTTTAAGTGCTGTTTAAGTATTTCTAAGTGCAAAAAGGCTGCGATGTGCCTTACAGAGGGAAAAATATGGGTTAGATAAGTTACTTTCAGGCATGAGTTACAATGCTCTTGAATCAACAATACATATTAAATAACGTGTCTTTCTACAAAAATGCAAATAAAATAAGGTTATGTATTAACCTGAAGACCAAAATATATGTGACCAGAGGCTTCCTCCAGGAATCTAACTATTTCTACCAGTAGCTATGTTTCAGTACTAAGATAGTGTAATTTCACTGAACATAGCTACCACAAACAATGAGAATCCACTGTACTGGCAGGAGGTCAAAGGCCATTTTTTTTTTTTTTTTTTTTTTAGAGACAGAGTCTCACTCTGTTGCCCTGGCTAGAGTGAGCGCCGTGGCGTCAGCCTAGCTCACAGCAACCTCAGACTCCTGGGCTCAAGCGATCCTCCTGCCTCAGCCTCCCGAGTAGCTGGGACTACAGGCATGCTCCACCATGCCAGGCTAATTTTTTCTATATATTTTTAGTTGTCCAGATAATTTCTTTCTATTTTTTAGTAGAGATGGGGTCTCGCTCTTGCTCAAGCTGGTCTCGAACTCCTGAGCTCAAACAATCCACCCGCCTCGGCCTCCCAGAGTGCTAGGATTACAGGCATGAGCCAAGAGGCCATTTTTGACTCTAGATTTTCTAGCAGTTCACACAAAGAGAAACAAACATTATTAGTTACATAATTCAGTTTGCCCATAAAATTATCCTTGCTTTCTTTTCCCTAGCTTGCTCTTTCACTTATACCGTCTCTAAAGTCCAGTTATCTAACTTCTTAATAGTCAAAACTCTTCTCAATCAGGCCCAACCTACCTTTAAGACTATACTCTTGCAATTCACAAACATTGCTCAGGGTTACAAATTAAAATCAGAGAGACATTTCCCCCGTGAGTTCACACAGAGAAGACACCGTAATTTATGCACAACATTTGACAATAACTTTGCAGTGAACAGTGATGAATCTCATAGAGATCTTTCATTAAAAACAAAGATTTTTTTTAAGTGCCACAAAACAGAATGTAGAAATTCTCATAGATGCAGAAAATATTTTTTTACACACTTTTGAATTGTATTAGAAAGTTATAACAACAATTTTAACTCCAAAAACTACAGGATCAGAATGTCATATCCTTACTACTCAATTACCACTCAATTACAGTATGTGTTCCTGTTCTGGATTGCCGATAATCAGTATGTGTTATAGAACAGAAAGTTAAAGATTTGTAACTCCTTTGATCAAACTATCAACAACAGACTCACTGAGTGTTTGTCAAGGAAAATAACAATGCTCATGTAAGTTTTAGGAAGTGAAGTTTCTTTGGGGCATTTGAGTGTTATCAACACAGAGCAAGCATCTAAAATATTTTATTAATTTATATTAAGCATACAATCAAAGCATGACACTCTCCTGGGAGACTTGTGTTTCTTATAAACAAAACATAAGATCTCTGTTTTTATAATGTAATTCACCATTTACATTACAATGGTGGGCATTTGTTAACAAGGAGAGTTATTTTAGCACTTGCAATCCAATGCTAGTAATAATTTTTCATCTTGTAGGATTTTTGTTTGGCGAGAACAACCCTCTTATCTGTTGCTCTTGTTGTGCCCATATCACAATGCAAAGAATATTGTTATACTTCATAATGCTTATTTTTCTCGTGTCAAAATTTAACAGTAAAAAAACAAAACAAAAACAAAATATATCTTTTCCTCTAAACCTATTTATATTCTTTTTGTATAAGGTTGAGTTTCATCTCTCCTCTATTTCTCCCACTCCTTCCTGAAATTATAAACTGATGACTTGGAATTTATTATTTTAATGAATAAATGCTTACCTGCTGTTGAGTGTTCGGTTTGAAACTGAGGGTTTTCACTTGTGTATCAGTGCAGCGGCTCCTTCTATATAAATGGTAAGTTCATTCTTCAAGGCTACTTCTCTAATTAGTCCTTAGCGAAAAGAGGAGGGAGAGGGAAAAAAGTGCCCACACCTGTGAAAGGGGAGGGGTTATGGTGAAAGTCGGTCAGGTGAAAATCATTTCACATACAGCACAGCCCTTTCTGCTTCATCTCTTCTTTCCTGTCACCTTCAGGCTTGTGGTGTAAGAGCCAACAAATACTAATCTTGATTTAGAGATGGACATTTTCTAAAACCCATCTATTCATTAGGATCTCATGGAAAACATATAGGAATGGGACTCAGGCAAATGGGGGTACAATGAGAAAATAATATTGACGTTTTGTCCCTTTAGGTACTTTTACCTCTTCTGAAGATTTTGCTACCCTAAACTTCCAAGGCTGAAAGGGGGTAATCTCTAAAGAAGATACTTGTGGAAATGAGAGTAATTTTGAGAATTTTAATTTCTTCACCCTATGCTTTTTTTTTTATTTCAGCATATTATGGGGGTACAGATGATTAGGTTACGTATGATGCCCTTGCCTCCCCTCCCCACCAAGTCCGAGCTTCAAGTGTGTCCATTCCCCGGGAGGTGCGCATAGCACTCATTGTTTGTGCATATGCCCGTCCCCTCCTCCCACCTCCCCCTGCCCAACATCCGATAAATGTTACTCTTATGTGTGCACTTAAGTGTTGATCGGCTAATACCAGTTTGATGGTGAGTACATATGGTGCTTGTTTTTCCATTCTTGGGATACCTCGCTTAATAGAATGTGTTCCAGCTCTATCCAAGAGAATACAAGAGATGCTATATCACCGTTGTTTCTTAAAGCTGAATAGTACTCATGGTATACATATATGCTTTTAAATGAAAAGTCATTTCGAGTTTACTCACTTCCTTCAAGTGGCCACAATTTCAACCACCAAATAAGTATTTACTTAGACATCTCGGCACACAATACCTGAGTCTCGGAATAACAAGCATGACAGATGTCTCAACGGCCCATGCAGAGTGCTTCAATTTGAACGTGGCCGCATGGGAGGATTCTGTTTACCATCTTTGTATTTCATAAAATGGTAAGTTAGGACATTTTTTACTAGAAGTTAGGGCATTCTTTACTGAGCTAAGTAATGCAATGGGCAGTTGGTAAAAGTGACTGGAGAAATTGTATTAGATGGCAATTACTGGAAGTCAAAATAAGAGTGTTTTTGATCCTAATGTATTGATAACTTTTTTAAAAAAGACGTCATTGAGAGCAACATACACCTGTTTGTGGCCTAAGAAGCCTTCATAAATATGGTGTTTTGTGAATATTGAGTGAAATTAAAAAAAATTAAACAGAAGCTGTTATTTGTAGAACAGAAACTCTTTTAGATATTAAGTACAATATCCTAGGGAAGACTTTAAAAAGTTAGAGGTCAGGGTATTTTTTTTTTTTTTTTTTCATTTCAAGGTCAGGTTATTTACGGACTCTGAGAGACATATAAATGTTTCCCCAAATTTAGATTACATCCTGTTTCCAAGTGCATTAAAAACAGAAACTTAAGTTTGTCGTTCTCTATAAAACATCAGAACTAATTAGAACAGTTGCTTTCCACCTGAAGGAAAAATAACCAAAATTATATCCGGAAAAATTCACGGATTTGTACTTTGCTGTGATAGGATTTACTCATTAGATTCAGTAGCCCCTTCTAGTGGCAGCTCATCAGAAAATTCCTAAGTCAAAGTTTTAATCATTCTTTTCACTTCCTAGTTTTATCATTTACTATTTTCAGATCTTAAGACAGTTACTTAGCCACCTGGTGCCTCAGTTTCTTCACCTGCAGGGTGAAGATAATGTTAGTAGGTTTAATCCCTGTAGGATTGTCATTAAGGTTAAACATCAGCATGAATACACGTAACGTATATGTGCAATGGGGTTATAACAGTGTCTGGCATATAGCAAGCACTCAATAAATATCAGCCATTTCTATCATTGCTATCATTGTCATATGTCCCTGTTGTCCCATTTGAAAACTTACATTAAGTTTAAAAACCTCCTTGGGGGTGGAAACGGGGTGAAACTGGCTAGCACACATTTATTTCTATTGGTTAAAAAACGAACAATTTCATTTTAAAAATGTACTCTAGTCTTACTGGATTTAGAAAATGTCTCTCCTTTGTCTTCCTCTTTGTCTGATTTTAACAACTATAACCAATCTTTGGATATGGTTGCTACGGCAACTTCAGAGCCCTGCTAACAGCAGAGACCACTTTAACGAACAGAGCAACACCTAAGCCAAGAGAAAGTGGTTCTGTGGTAGTTTAGTAGTGAAAAAATACATTCAAAAACAGCAGCTCTTAACCAGAAAAGCTAATTAGAACACAGAAATGGCTCAGTCACTTTTCGACATGATAAACCCCAACTGAGAAATACAAATTTCTCTCTGCGTTTGCCTTCCTTCTTTCCTTTCTTTCTCAAAGCTAAATATTTCTTGACAATGAAGGAAACATGAGAGGCTTTAGACATGTTTAGAGACTAAGCCAATTCAAATACTAATTTTGACAGGTGCAACTGCATATTTTGGCAAACAGAGAATGCCAAGAAATTCTATCCAACCAAATAAAAGAAAATAAATCCCTTAATTTTAGGTTCCAGTGCAGTTGTCTCACATTTAAATAAAACCTGTTTGTTAAACATATGCCCAGCTGAAATTTGAGGAAAATGGAGGAGCTTATATAAAGTAAGAATTTTAAATGACTGACATTACACTAAGGTTCTGCAACGTATCTGTACAGCCTGCCTCTCAAAAGCTATCCCAATTTATCTTCTTCCTTCAGCAAAATTACTGGGTGCCCATTTTCAATAATAAGTATGTTCCGTAATTTTCCTTTTCAACTTTTTCCAGTCTTTGTTAATCTGATAGGTGAAAACATTTGTTTTAATTTGTATTTAAGTGGTTATTATAAGGTTGAACATCTTTCAAATACTTAAGATGTTCAAATATATCTTCCTTTGAGAATTGCTCATTTTCCTACTGGTATTTAACCTTTTTGTTACTGATATTTTAGAGCTCTTTATTAATAAGGGTTTTATTTCTTTGTTTTCTATATGTAGATGTTTTCCGGTCTGTGCTGTGTATTTGGCTTGGTTTTGGGTTTTTAAAAATCTTATTTTACAAAGCTGGTTTATGTAATGACCTTTTTTTCACCTTTATGGTTTTAGTTTTGCTTATATGATATGTAATAGGGCTTTTACTACCCTGACATCCACTATTCATTCATAATTTCTTCTTAGTTTATATTTTTATGTTTATTTACTTGGAATCTATTTTGGCATAAAGTGGGAATATTAACTGTGCTCCACCCTCTCCTCCTGTGGGGTTAGCCAGTTTTCTCAAGACCATTTATTGAATTATATATATTTTTCTGCATTTCATTTGAAATGTGATTTTTATTATATTTTTACACAATTTCCCTCTATTCTTAAATATGTGTCTTTTTTAGAATTTAAAGTTTCTGGCATTGGCACTTATCAGTCACTAGAGAAGAGATGCATCATAGGTGGCATGGCCTGTGCACGGGGGAACATAGATTGGTGAGGATACTACCTAGGGATACTGTTATCTGAATTATTGGGACCATATACAGTTGAAGTTTATTTGGATCTGTAATTAACTCTTAAATTCTTCACAAAGAGTACACCAAAATGCAGCCTTTAAGAAATATCGTATATGTTTTGGATTGCCTGCTACCTAACAGAAGATATCGTAGATCTCTCAAAGTTACGTTATAAGCTATAAGAGGGTAGTATGGCCAGTTAATGCAGGGTGAAGAACTATCACTCAGCAACAATGGTCAATTAAAAGTCTGGTTGACTTTCAATAATCTGTTAAGTATTAAGTCTGGTGCAAAAGTAATTGCAGTTTTGTACCCTGAATTTTAAATCATTATAATTAGGCTCAAACACATCTTTATTAATCAAAATAGGAAATAGCACAATCAACACATTTTTGACAACGAGAAGTAAGTTTGTTTATTCCTGTAGCATAAAAATCCGTGCTTCAGGATCCCAGGAACTCTTGGAAAGTGTTTTCTGCATCCTGCTGGTTGTGGAAGCGTTTTCCATGCAAAAAGTTGTTGAGGTACTTGAAGAAGTGGTAGTTGGTTGGCGAGAGGTCAGGTAAGTATGGCGGATCAGGCAAAACCATAGCCCAATTCGTTCAATTTTTGAAGCGTTGGTTGTGTGACTGTAGTGGAGAAGAATTGGGCGTTTTTTCTTGACCAATACCAGCTGCAGGAGTTGCAGTTTTCGGTCCATCTCATTGATTTGCTGAGCACACTTCTCAGATGTAATGGTTTCACTGGGATTCAGAAAGCTGTAGTGGATCAGACCAGCAGCAAACCACCAAACAGTGACCATGACCTTTTTTGGGTGTAAGTTTGTCTTTGGGAAGTGCTTTGGAGCTTCGTCTCAGTCCAACCACTGAGCTGGTCGTTGCTGGTTGTTGTATAAAATCCACTTTTCGTCACATGTCACAATCTGATTGAGAAATGGTTCTTTGTTGCGTACGATAAGAGAAGATGACACTTCAAAACGATGATTTTTTTTTTTCTTTTGAGACAGAGTCTCACTGTGTTGCCCGGAGTAGAGTGCCGTGGCATCATCCTTGCTCACAGCAACCTCAAACTCCTGGGCTCAAGCGATCCTCCTGCCTCAGCCTGCCGAGTAGCTGGGACTACAGGCATGCGCCACCATGCCCGGCTAATTTTTTCTATGTATTTTTAGTTGTCCAATTAATTTCTTTCCTCTTGCTCAGGCTGGTTTCGAACTCCTGAGCTCAAACAATCTGCCCACCTCGGCCTCCCAGAGAGCTAGGATTACAGGTGTGAGCCACCGCGCCCGGCCGATTTTTTTGATTTTTGGTCAGCTCATGAGGCATCCACTTACTGAGCTTTTTCACCTTGCCAATTTGCTTCAAATGCCGAACAACCTAGAATGGTCGATGTTGAGTTCTTCAGCAACTTCTCGTGTAGTTGTGAGAGGATCAGCTTCAATGATTGCTCTCAATTGGTTGTTGTCAACTTCCGCTGGCTGGTCACTGTGCTCCTCATCTTCAAGGCTCTCATCTCCTTTGCAAAACTTCTTGAACTGCACTGTATGTTTGTTAGCAGTTCCTGGGCCAAATGCGTAGTTGATGTTGTGAGTTGTCCCCGCTGCTGTATGACCCATTTTGAACTCAAATAAGAAAATCACTCGAATTTGCTTTTTGTCTAACATCATTTCCATAGTCTAAAATAGATATAAACACCAGTAAGTCATTTAGCAAAAAAACATAAAGCAAAAAACGTACATTAAAATTATGTATAACATAACCACATTTAAGAATGTATTCCTATATCAAATGGCAAATTTTGAAGATGCTAAAACTGCAATTACTTTTGCACCAATCTAATGGATGTTCTGAGAGAACCAGCAAAGGTTTAATGCAACTCCTCCCTCCCCACCAAAAGCTACTAGAAATGTCATGATCAATGTTAAGAATCAATGAATTAGGGGTTTACTAGTCATTCTAAAAACATGAAGCTTTAAGTTTCCAAGTGAAGGGTTTTTAAGACTGTCAATGGAAAAAGACCAAACTCTGTAAAATAATTTTAAAGAGATTTACTCTGAGCCAAATTTGAGGACCATGACCCGGAGCCATGCCCAAGAGGTCTTGAGCAGTGGACTCGCTGAGGTTGGGTTACAGTTTGGTTTTATACATTTCGGGGAGACAGGGGTTACAGGTAAAGTCATAAATCAATACATGGGAGGCATACATTGGTTTGGCCCGAAAAGGTGGGCCATCTCGAAGCAGGTGCTTACAGGTTATAGGTGAGTTTAAAGATTCTTTGGCTTGTAATTGGTTAAAGACATGAAGCTTTGTCTAAAGGCGTGGAATGTTTCAACATAAGGAGCTGTTTATCAGAGATAAGCCTCTGGACATAGATTTGTTGTGTAAATTGAGGACCTGCAGGTTTGTCTGTGTACCCTTAGGCCTGTTAATGGGTTACAAAGGATGTCCCCAAGAAGGGAAGGGGGCATGATAAGGCATGTCTGACCTTCTTCCTCCTGGCAGGCAATTTAGTTTCAGGAGATTCCTTTGGCCATGAAGGGGGTCCATTTAGTCAGCCAGTGGCGGGGGTGAGCCTTAAAATTTTATTTTAGTTCACAAGACATTTTGTAGTATCTTTAATTTTTAGTCTCTTTGCCAGGGTTCTTTTCCTAAAGACTTTCTTTCCCTCCATCCTCCATTACCATTATTTCTTACGTAGATATTGCTTTTGACCCTTTCACTCAGCTGCCCAGGATCCCCATAATGTTATCTCCCTCATTACAATGAGCATTAAAATCCAACTTGTTTAACTATGGGTGCGCTCCTGGTGGTGTCTGCCTGAAGGGTATTAACAGAATTATGGCATCTTCTAAATTAACTGACACGATAATTGAAAGAAAAAATAATAAAATTGCAGTTATTTTATTTTATTTTACAAGTACAAGTATGCTTTCATGACAGTAGAAAATAAACTTTCAACATCTATTCACTAACCAACCAAAGAAATAAAATGTTGATGTGACCTCCAAAGTTAAACATACCTGGCAAATCTTAACTAGTTCATAAAAAGACTAGGGAGTTAGGTGAAAAAGTGAAGGCCTTTGAAAAAGTGAAGGCCTTTCAACTTCCAGATGATCAGACAGAAAATGCAAACCATTAGTACAGAATGAGTGATAGCAAACACCTGAGCTTATATACTAGGTACTGTACATAATTTACATACCACAATTCCATACTTAACCAATAAATGAGCTCCATTTAACCATTATAAACTCTTAGAGCATGACTTCTTGTTTAATGGTTTTAGGCAAATAATTGCAGATACAACAATATAAATGTTGATTTCCTAGATTTGGCAACTGCTAAAAAGAGTTTTCAGAAATCCATTAGATGCTAATGATAGATCTACAGAAGCTAATTTTAAAGTGCATATCAGGGGATAAATCCTGCAGAAGCCTCAGCCTCTGTAATATCATCATGGGTTAATAGTTTTATAAATTCATAAACATTAAATTAATATGGAGCAATCTAAAAAAAAACTCTTCAAGTGGCATCCAGTTTCTTATAGGCTTCTTCAATGAACGTTAACATGTTCTTAATCTGGGGTGAATTATGAAGAATATTCAAGTCCTTTAGAAGAGCATTCTGGTTTGGAATTAGCGTCAAAATTTCTTTCTGTGGGTAAGATAGTATAATTAGTTGTTAGCAATTTATGAAAAATGTCAAAGGTATGTTATTTAGAGAGCATGGCACCCACCACCCAACGTCAAGTACCAACCCCCAACTTCAATAATCATCAATTTATGGTCATTCTTCTTTCAAATCTATCTTTTCCTCCTCTCCCCATTCCTGCTCCTTTTCACCACTGGAGGATGATAGACAGGAAAATTTTAAATTATTTTTTGCGAAAGCATGAAGACTTTCCACTGGCTTAAACATTTACACTATAATATGTACTGGGTCCTTTGAAGAAAGATTTATTAATTATCAGTGTGGAGTTTACTATAAGACAGTGGTTTTTTCTAAGGAGTTATATGTCACTGTCAGAAGCATAAACAAAAGCAACTGTCAATATTTATTTACTGAAATGTGTCTTACAATTATGACTATACAAATCTGTAAAGATATATGTACAAGGGTGTACCCAGTATTATCTGAAATACAAAAAATTATTTATTTCCATCAGTAATTTAAAAATTATATTATAAATCCATGAAATGGAATGTTATATAGCTACCAAAAAGAATGAGAGCTCTGTATGAACTGACAAGGAAAGACATTCACTATATAGTCAAATGAGAACAGTAATTTGCCAAATAGTTTGTATCAGGATTCCATTTACAAAAAGAAAGAAATAGGACACAATGTTTTATATATAGGCAATGCATAACTGGTGATATACAGGCATATCTTGTTTTATTGTTCTTTGGTATATTGCCCTTCCCAGACACTGAGTTTTTTACAAATTGAAGGTTATGGCAACCCTGCATTAAGTCTATCAGTGCCATTTTTCCAACAGCATGTGCTCACTGCATGTCTCTGTCACATTTTGGTAACTCTCATAATATTTAAAACTTTCTCATTATTTTATCTGTTATGGTGATCTGTGACCAGTGATTTTTGATGTTACTATTATAATTATTTTTAAGGTGACATGAATTGCACCCATATGAGATGGCAAACTTAACTGATAAATGTGTGTGTTCGGACCACTCCACTGACTGGCTGTTTCCCCATCTCTCTCCCTCTCTTCAGGCCTCCCCATTCCCTGAGACAACAATATTGAAATGAGGCCACGTAATAACACTACAATAACTTCTAAGTGTTTAAGTGAAAGGAAGTTGCCATGTCTTTCACTTTAAATCAAAGCTATTAAATAGAAGTGATTAAACTCAATGAGGAAGGCACATCAAAAGCTAAGACAGGCTAAACGCATCAAAAGCTAAGACAGGCTAAATGCTAGGCCTCTTGTACTATACAGCCAAGTTGTGAATGCAAAGAAAAGTTTTTTTTTTTTTTTTTTTGTTTAAGAGACAGGGT